AGTCACGTATATAGTTTTAACGAATGTTGTAACTTGCTTGTTCGTGTTTGCATGGAAAAAGAGGTGAAATTAAAATATTCTCTTTCACACGTTACACATACTCACATACTGTATCGAAAAAATTTGACTGTTCGAACTTCGTTGCCTCGATCCTTTCTAAACGAACGATAGCCAAAACCCCGGCGCTCTAATCCAATGCAACGAAAGCCGTTAACGTTTTGATCTACCTCACCGAGGCAATTTTTCGTTTCTCTAATATCTAACGAAGAGAGTTGAAAAGCCACGAAACGCGAGTCAAAGTATAGAGTAAAAGAGAGAGAGAGAGAGAGAGAGAGAGAGAAAGAGAGAGAGAGATAGAGAAACGCGGAACGTTTCGATAAATTCAGGATAAAAATCGAATTCTTTTCGTTTTACATCACTTACCCCGCTGCCATATCGGAGTGCTCACAGGATTGCTGTCCACCTCGCATTTTAGGCTGACAGACATTCCCTCGACGATGGGAATTCCAAATCCAGGTAAACGCGTTATCGCGAACGATGGAGTATCTGAAACAGGTATTAAGCAATTAGTGTCAGTGCCAAGCGTTCGATGCACGCTAGTGTATCGATCCTATCGGATCGTCGAAAAGAGACAGAAGCGTTATTTGAATAGTGGGACCGGCCTTCGGCGTATAACGGGACGCAATACTCTTCAGGACTTGATTGACGGTAGAGGGCCGAGATTGAACTGACACGTTATTACGTTCCTCCGGCGCTCCAAAATTCTCCGTTTCTACGAAATTGCGTTGCTTTCGCGCTAATCCTACAACTTTGATATTAAACAAACGTTCGTGCTATACTAATGATAATTTTAACGATCAATCCTTCGTTATCTTTGTTATACCTTGACATTGCTAACAAGCTAGCGTATTAATTTTTCATTAATAGATAGTAATTAATATTCGATCTGAATAACGATCAAGCCTCGAATAAAGTATCAGATTTATTATCTGATAATAAATCTAATTAATTAGCAACTTGTTCATAAATCTAAGATATGGACTTATTTATAGCGAGACGAAAGCTCGTAAATCGATTCAACGTTATTTACAAATTTATACTTTCCCCCCCGCCATGTTTTTATCGCGCTTAAGTCTTGCTCAAATATTACTCGATACAGATCCCTACTTATCGTACGATCGTAAAATCCAAACGATCATAAAGTTTCTAGCCGATGCTTCATACAGTGAAGAAGCATATCCCTTCTTTCCCCTCCCCCTCCTCCCCACGCGCTATTTCATCAATGCATCGTCACCAATTTATTTGACGACGTGTAATGACGACGGCGAGGACGATGATGACAAGAACAACATCGTCGGTTGTCGTTTGTCAAGATCGTTTTTTCTTAGAAGAAGAAAAAGAATAAGAAAAAGAAATAGAAAGAAGAGAAAAAGGTAGAATGAATGAAGGATAAAAGGAGAACCAAGTCGGAATATTAACCAGGCGAGAATTATAGTATAACGCGTCTAGAAACGTTTCAACGGCGCCAGCTAGTGACGTGTTGGACTTTCTACTCACCCTTCGACGCCATTCGCGCGATGAACATCCTCGTGATAACGTAAATGTGTACTGTCGGTCGCGAACGAGCGACCGAGCGAGCGAATGCTAGCAAAAGCGTATGTATGTGTATTTGTGTGAAAAAGAGAGACCCCCCTTTTGCCAAGCCCAACCGTAAAAATCTTCGCTGTCCTGCTCGTTAATTACTTGACCTCGGATCGGGTCGCTTTCTGCTAGCTCGTTTGTTCGCCAACGATTTTAATTCTCCCACCTACTCTCTTCGTCCTACCTCTTTTTCCATCACCAATCCCTATCATCTTCGTGGTGGTAAGCGAAAAGCTTCTACTATTCGCTTGGCTCACGATATGCATGAATTCTTTCACACAAGCCGACGATGCTCGTTAATGGCGCGGAAGGAAAACTCTGCTACTGCTATTCGTGCGTATGTCTTTGTCTGTGTCAACGGGTGTATATATATGTGTGTGTGTGTGTGTATCTATGGACGCGCGCGCGCGTATGTGTGTATGCCTATCCATGTGTATGTGTGTGCAGGAATGCGGCCGCGCGCGATCCGCAGGATTAAATCCATTGCAAGTGGATCGATATAGAACGTGAACTGGTGTACGGCATGTGACTGACCGGAAAATGCATGAAAAATAAAAATCGTAACGATTTCATCGAGAGTCATAAAGGTGAGAGAGCGTTGTTATTGACGCGTTATCTTTGCAAACATGAAAACGAATTTTCTTTTGAGACGAGATCACGAACGTGAGAAATAATAGAAAAAAAAGGGAGAAAAGCGAAACGTGAAAGTAGACGAGGAAAATATTCTCTCTTTCTCTCTCTCTCTCTCTCTCTCTTTCTCTCTCTCACTCTTTCTCTCTTTCTATCTATCTATCTACCTCTCTGTTTGTCTCTCTTTCTCTTTTTCTCTTTTTGTCTCTTTTTTTCTCTCTTTTTCTCTCTTTTTCTCTCTTTCTCTCTCTTTCTCTCTCTTTCTCTTTCTTTCTCTCTCTCTCTCTCTCTCTCTCTCTCTCTCTCTCTCTCTCTCTCTTTCTCATTCGCTTTACTAGGATAGCTCGGAGTTATTCACTCGGCCATAATAGTGCGGTGCCGAGACAATGCAAGCTTAATGAAAGCTATCCACGGCCGTTGGGGTTTCTCTCGAGGGCCGCCGACGACGCCGACGCCACCCGACGCAGCGGCGTAAACACCGAACAAAGCGAACAATGCGACACAGAAGTGTCCCACAGACCTCGATCGTTTAATGAGAACTTTAAAACGTTCCACCGTATATAGGTATATATGTATACCTACAACTACCATCGTTTTCTTTACTCTCCAAAGAAAATACTCTCCAAACGATATCCTTTTGATGTTTCTTTATTTTTCTCGTACTTTAATATCGATATATTCCTTCACATTTATTCGTGCAAATATTTAATACCAATATGGGAATCCTTGAGAAAAATTTGATATGAAATTATATGATAATACGAGAAAATGAGAAAGAGAGAATGAGAATTCGAGCGGATTGCATTTTTCTCAGGGCAAAAAAGTATCTGGATTTCACGGTAGACGAACGTTAAAAGTTCAGAACGATCGTTTAAAGCGTAGATTTTTCATTGGTCTGATTCAATTAAGCATAGCTTGATCAAGTCGAACTTTTGAATGAGAAAGCGTATAAAAATGCTGGTTCAGCGGCATTAAAGGCCATTTGGAATGCATAAAAAAAAAAAAAAAAAAATAATTGTGCGATCGCACAGCGTACTAATTCTAAATTTTCGTACAACTTGATCCGATACATAAATCTATATCAAAGATATACATGCCTTTATCAAGCTTATAGCTTGTATTTTGTAAATTTTGGCAGATTTGATGAAAAATTTTATTATGATTTTTATCGATGAATTATGGATTTTTCGACGCTCCATTCCCAATAAATGTTAACAATTTGAATAATCCTCCTGGCGTATTATTTTAAACAGCAAGTAAGCCTCTTTCGCCGTCGAAAGTAAATGATGTGTACGAGATAAGGGAACACATAAACGAAGGGATAAATTCACGATTGTATGTGGTACGCTATAGGGAAAGATATACGAGGGTACGCATTCGATTCTCATTTGGCGGTACGGCAATGAATCATGTTCCTACCACTTGAGAAAGAATCAACGACTTCAAACACCATTTTCCACGTGGGCTTACGCGTGTGAGCTTATACTCGCTCGCCTTCGTAAAATGTAAGGCGAAACGACGTAAAGCTGTTCGGCAAGACTACGAAGAGAAGAAAAAGTCTCTTGAAAAAAATTTCTACCAACGTTTGTTATGGAACGCTCGTAAACCTTATACGAACCGTTAGGCAAACCTATATATGGATAAGAAAAGAGGATTTCGTACTAGTGCATGAGGACGGCTATGCGTTTACGCGCATTTACCAACAAAACAAATATGTCTTGTACCGTCATCATCAACATTTAAAACTTTTTGATATTGGACGAGTTGAAAAAAAAAAATGAAAGAAGAGGGAAAAAAGAAAAAATAACAACTCCGAAAAATCATTTAAAAATAAAAAGAATAAAATCCATGCTCGTTCCATTCTCGTACTCAATATCCTCGATAATGAAACCGGCTACTATAGTACGAAAAACCGTACGATTTTCCTTTTCGCACGATGATTACGGTCACCCTTTTGATCACCCTTCGCTATCTTTCTTAATCCTTATCGCCGTCTATATTTGGATTTGTCCCTTATCGAACTCGTATCGTATCCCTTTTAGTTCCCCTTATTTATTTATTTCTTTCTTTCTTTCTTTTTTTTTCTTTCTTTCTTTCTTTCTATCTTTCTTTCTTTCTTTCCGATAAATTTTTTACGTCGGTAATCCCAAATCGTATTTATATCGTAAAACTCGTTATTATCGATGATACATCATTATTTGTACGATATTGATTTTCTGAATTTCAATTTGAAACATATCTATGCAGTTGTGAATCCGAGAACGTTGAACATCGAATAAGTTTACCTATTGTTAATGGAGAAACAAATGGGAAATCATCGAACTTCACACAATAGAAACCAAAACGATTATTCTATCTTCAATTTCTATTAGAAATTCAAATTAAAAGGGTGCTGGTAGTAAATCGATTACATTGCATTCAAAATATATCTATGATCAAAAGTGTATCGCTCGTTAGATCACTTGTAAAACAATAACGTTTCGTCAATATCCGATTACGCCATTTCGTGAACGCATCATTAACAGAACGACAGGCCACCGTTATCGGCCACAACGTATTCGTTCGGTAAACATTTGTCGTTTGTATATTTACAGAAAGAAATAGAAAACGAGAGAATGAGAGGCATAGATAAATAGATTGAAAAAATAGAAAGAGAAAGAAAGAGAGAGAGAGAGAGAGAGAGAGAGAGAGAGAGAGAGAGAAAGAGAATTCGATTGTCGGATGAGGATGGATAGATACGTAGATATACATTCGATGAAAGAGAGGAAGAAAGAGAAAAAAAGGGAGAGAGAGGGAGAGAGAGAAAGAGAGAGAGAGTGATAGAGATGGGAAACGTCGAAAATTCAGTTGGTCAATCGGTTATTCCGAAAATTCGTTCTCTCGACAGTAGAGACGCACTAACGCCGCTTCTATTAAACGGTTTCTCGATAATAGAGGCGCGAGGTTAAAGCTGTTCCGCGTTTGCCAATATAATGTGTCCTCTCGATAAAATGGCCGTCCATCGGAGTTCTCTCTCTCTCTCTCCCTCTCTCTCTCTCTTTCTCTCTTTCTCTCTTTCTCTCTTTCTCTCTTTCTCTCTTATTTTCCGCATCATCGTTAAGAGTCACAATTTAATCCAAAATATCGTTTTCATCTCGTTTCATCCTGAATATGTTTTCGGCAGCTTTATTGAGTCATCGAATAAAACATAAAACAAAGGAGTCGTTATAATTTACATGCAATTATTGTCTCACGTTTGTTCGAGATCAATAGAAATCGATACGTACAATAACAAAGTAATTATCGTCGAAAAGTTTTGATAGAAAGAAACGAAGAAGTGAAAAATCTCAATCATGACCTCAATTAAATCGCATTGTAGACAAAGTTATGCAACGTTTCATATTAATCTATCTATCAGTAATTTGTAATAAAATGGGGAATAAAGAGATGGAGAGAGAGAGAGAGAGAGAGAGAGAGAGAGAGAGAATGAGAGAAAGAAAATGGGAGAGAAAGACAGAGCCCTTCCGATTCCAGACATCGTAATTATCGATCGTTGCATTAATTCGCGATATTTTATTGATATTTTACACTCCTTGCTGTAGAAAATAGGTCACAGTTAAGTTTACGACGGTGATTAGAGAATAGTAGGATGGAATCATTAAATCTTAAATCTCGTTTTATTAAGTCAGGAAACATCTATATACATCCTTTTTATGTTTTTATATATATATATATATATATATATATATATAATATAAAGAGAGAGAAAAAGAGAGAGTATGACCGATTTACTATATGTATACACGCAATTATTTTCTTAAGTTTTAGATGAACGTTTCGACGAACGTATTTTATATACATATTTTATGTTGAATGTTGTTGAATTATTAAGTTTCAAATTTGGCATGTCATGGCATTAATGTTATCTCCACAGCTCGATTGGAGTTTATGTGTTTCAGAAAATCAATTGAATTCAGCCATATTGATGCAAAATGTATAAATTAATAATGGAGGATACGTACAAACGTGTTAATGTCAACGGCATGTCAATTTTAAAAGCAAGACAAAAAAGGACATAACAGGATATGTTAGAGCAAGTCAGCAGAGAACAAAATAGGGCAGCAAAGGACATAACAAGGACAGGACAAAATCGGACAAAATAGAAAAAGGTCAACTCGGCTTGACTCGACTCGACTCGTTTTGATTGCCCACGGTATGTTTTGCTAGAACCATATTGAATTTGAAACTTAATAACTGAACAACCACTCATACAAAATACATGTGTATGTGGTGTTTTGAAAATGGTTCGATATAAATAACAAGAATGTGTAATAAAGGATATAGAGAAAAAATGTAAGCTTGATCTTTGCAAAGCTTTCAAAAATTATAGGTTAAAATTAAATTAAAATTAAATAATTATCACTATGATGTCCTTCACTATGGTCCTTCATTATTGGCACCGTACAAACTTCTCCGTCTGAAAACTTTTTTTGCATTTTTAATAATTAGGAAAATAATTGCCTGTGTATACTTAAACCGAACGTACCATATATATATATATATATATATATATATATATATATATATATATATATATATATTGTACACATAATCAAACGTGTGTGAAAAGCGAGCCTTGAAACGGGCTAGTATGCACAAAGGACGAATGCTCGAGGAAAAGGTAGCTGAAGAGGGTGTAAGAGAAAAAGAACGAAAGGGTACGAAATTCGTTTTTGAGAGAAGCTAAAGAAAGACTGGAAATCGGTTCGAGTTTCTCCTAGAGAACGACTTCCACCGTGAAAATCGTAGCTTTCAGTCGAACGCGATCGTTTGGCTCACCGCGAAACGAATTTCACTTTGCCATACTATTTCCATTGGTAAGCCTTAATGGGAAGGGAAGGTAAAAAAAGAGAAAACAAAAAAAAAATAGAAAAAAGAAAAAAGAAAATAAAAGAAAAAATTAAAAAAAAAGTAGTAGACTTTATCATAAAACTGATTTGTCCCGATCAATTTGCGCAATATTAGAAAAATCTTTAATTTCGCGTTGGGATTTCGTAATAGGAACTATTTTAGTACAATATCCAGGCAACTTTAATTTCGTTTTTGTTTTTTTCTTTTTTCCTTTTTTTTTCTTTTTTTTCTTTTTTTTTTTTTTTTTTTTCGTAATATCGCATAAAACAGCCGCCTATAGATTAAACGTAATAATTTACGGATGGTATCGTAATGCGAGCTTCGATCTTTTTCTTTTCTCGTCGAGATCGTTAAGAGAGAAAAAGAAATAGCAAGAGAGAAAGAATAAGAGATTGGAATAGAAAATACGAGTTCACAAGTTCGTTGCTAAGGTTAAAGACGGTGCAACGTTAACAGGAAAATTACCGAATGCCTGGAAGAAAAATGACGGTCGTAAGAGGACATTGCGAGGATTATTAATAGACTCGACCTAGAAAACGTTCCGCGAGAAATATTCTCGAAAAAGAGGAACATCGTTCTTCGCGATGCGAAGCGATACGATGCGATGCGATGCGATGTGTTTCTCTCTCTCTCTCTCTCTCTCTTTCTCTCTCTCTCTTTTTCACTCTCCCTATTTAAGAATCAACTCATAAATAAGAAATTAATGGCACCACACCAGAACCCGAGAAGAAGCGATTCGAGTACTAACGAAAGGAATAATCGTCGACTTGTAAGAGTTGTAAATGACATTTTCAAGATGATTTAGTAGGTCTCTCATCACTTAAGTCGGTACTTTTAAGGATTACGTGGGAAGGGGACGGTGACGGGAAGAAGGGGAGAATTATTAAAATTAGTAATACATCCGAAACATCCTCTCGTTTCTTCCAAGTTATCGAACAAGTTATAGACTTTACAAATCTATTATTAATCTAACCGAAGTGCTTGCCGTAGTTTTATTAAGTAAAATATTCACTTAATATTTTATATAATCTTTAATGCATACTGATGACTATTAATTTTCAAGATTGACGGTTAAAACTATATATATAAAAAGTATATATATATATATATATATACTTGTGAGATACAAGAATAAAATACTTGTGAATAAAAGATCGATCTTATTATATCGATATTCTCGAGATATATGAAAAGGTAAAAAAAGAACATTTTTTTTTTTCTTTTAAAATAGTTTCTGTTTCCAGTCTCTACAACTTCCTAAACATTCCGAAAATATCTTTGGAAGAGATTATTATTAATGATTCTTAATTAGTAGTAATTTATTTCGGATTATTAACTGAGCGCATAAATTCCAGAAATTTATATAGGTCACTGTGTCAATGAATCTATATCGGATCAATATAATTCTCTTTTACTAACATTAAAATATTTCTGAAATTAAGAATCTTAAAAAATTCGTACGAAGACTATTGTAAAGGGCAGACTTCCCTTTATCATTTTGGCATGTTTTAAATAATATAAAAAAAAAAAACAATTTTTTATAAATAATTTTTATAAACTATTGATCAAGTATATTTTTCCTGATAACTTTCTTTCTAATCCATTCGTTAAAATAACTTTTTCCTAAATAATTGGTTATAAAAAATTTATTATATATATATATATAATTTCTTATATGGATAAACATTTTTTTAATTCGTATCTCAACTTATAAGAAGAAGTATGAAACGAACATGGTAGAAACGTTCTTCTATTCGCCAAGTCAGATCCTATATCGATTAAGATAATTATATGCTTAAGAAATAATAAACTTTAGCAACTAGAAATGGCAGATCGTATTGCTTCAGGCTTCTTCGCTTACAGTTCGGATGAATTTGTACAGAAGCTCTTCCGAAATGAATACGAGAACTCGTCGTATTCCGTTATGGCCTGAGTTGACAGCAACAAGGATCGATTTACTGTCACGTACAATAAACACCTAAATATTTGCAAATATAGAGTGGCCGTAAAGTGTGATGACGTTGTATGTGCATGACGCCAACTGATACGGAAAAATAAGCAAAGTTTTCTTCTCCGATTCGTCCCTGAAATGGGAGGAAAAACAAAAAATGAAAAAAAAATAAATAAATAAAAAAGAAAAGAAAAAATGAAACAAAGAGAGAAAGAATTATTGATTCGATCGATAGTATTCAAACGAGAATAACCGACATATACCGACGATGCAACGATAATCCTTAAACGGTTTACATTTCTGATTGTTTTGCCGTGTCAAAATATACAGTACATACGCGTTGATTAATAATTCTGTCATATTGGTTAATTATTCGTAACGCAGAACGTAACTATTAAAATCAGGATCGTTAATTCTCTTCGATGTACCGGTCAGCCGAAACCATCCGCGTTATTTATCGAGCCTATTGAATCTATTTGTTTCCAACGTAACACGTAACGCTCTTAATTGTGACCGTCTCTCGGTCGTTGACAAATTGATTCGTTTTTACCTTCCGTCATATCGTAACGAATTGGACGTACTCGACGATATTTTATATGCGCGTTCCGGTGAGATAACAAAAAACTTTCCAAAGTATTTCTACCAGGAAACAAGAGGGGAAAAAATGCCAAATAAAAAAAAAAACAAAAAAAAGAAAAACAACTTGTCACAAATAATATCCTGACATTGAGTTATATATATATATATATGTATACACACATATATGTATATAACTACCAACGAGAACGATCACGTGAATATCTCCGATTATGTTGTTTCTCTTCGCGTTGTTTCCTCACAATGAATTCACAGTCGCCGAAACAATTTTCATTAAGCGCGTTCACGTCCACTGTGCAGAGAGCGGCTAATGCAGCAACATTCATCACGTTAGAACTCCGTTTTATCGAGGATAGGAGAAGGTAGGAAGGAAGATAGAAGTCACCAGAGAGAGAGAGAGAGAGAGAGAGAGAGAGAGAGAGAGAGAGAACAGAGGAGGAAAAGGTCGAGGAAGGATACGCGAATAGCAACTAGGTTGAACTAAACGTGGTAACATTATCGTGAACCTCGGAATCGAGGAAGCGATGCGAGCTCGCTTCTATTTCATAAATTTGCAAGTTACTCTCGGTTTAGTGGACGCGCTCCTCTCGTACACACACATTACTTTACTCACCTACACACATATATATATATATATATATATATATATATATATATGTATATGTATATATTGTGTGTATATATACATCGACACGTGCAAGGCCTTTCGCAAATATTACGGTTAAATAGCGTTCAGTTTAGTATGAACCAAGTGCGTCCATTTATACATAACGATTAATCTGGCGATTATGAGATTTCTGAACTGATACGAAATGATATGTTTCATACGTTGAACATCTCAAATGGGGTTCTTTTAAAATTATTATTAAACGTTATACTTTTATCCTTATGATATAAAATGAATCAACCGAATCGTTAATATATGCTTTAATAAAATTTCCGATCGATTAATATGAACGTATTGCGCTAGAAATGAATTTTCCAAAGACTCGATGATATATACATACATACGTATGAACAGACGCGTGCAATACGTATTTACAGAGGCATTCGAGTGGAACGATTTCAATGGGTCATCGAATATGCGCATACACGCGGGACGTGTCATTTCGCTGAAGTACCATGCAAAATACTTTCTTCTCTGGTACAGTCAAAACATTATTCCCCCTCTTCTAATCGACGAATAACGATATCTCGTAGCGATACCATCGGCAGAACATCATTGTCTTTCCGTGACGATACATTTTCAATTTATTGGTACGAGTAAACACGGCACGTTTCCTCCTCTAATTGTAAGTACATTTAGATAGCTAATTATAATGCCGAATATACTCTATTCTCCAATATCGAATGAATTAGCTTCGGGAAGACGATTTTGTAATAGACAAACGATTTCGATCGTTTATCGAAATTCATTGGCTCGATATATGTATATGTAAATCAATTAACCGATTATTACTCTCGATATTTGCTTATCAAGTTTAATGCCGGGGTTTACGAGTATAATATAGATAACTATAAAAGAACACATAGAGAGATTTTAGAGATAATGGTCGATTACTGTCCGATTCAGATTAGTACAATAATATAAAATAGTATATAACAATTCTTGTTATTATAATAATAATAAACTAGATATGTTAACAGAAAGGTAATAAAATCATCGAGATATCATCGGCAAAGTGAATTGTATAAACTGTTGCTTTATTAACAATTCCAATATTATTATTATTATTAACAAACTTACAATACACAGAGAATTACATTAATATCTTCGACCTGATTCGTTATTAATCCTTTAAATTTATTCATTTTAATTATAGGAAGAATGATCATAAATAATACGTTTTATTACGTTTTCACTATCGCGTAATTTTATTCGATGTCTATCTTAAATAATATCATAAGATTATATCATATTTGTATCTTGAAGATTTTTTTTTTCATTTTTGTAAGTGAGTTGAACAGCGTTAACGATAAAAACCGTCCAAGGGAGATCGAAAGAAATGAAATTCTCAGAGAATTTTAAAGTCGAGAAAGGCGATGTCTTTGAAAACGGGCTTTGTTCCAAGGCGCTATGGCTTTTCATCGTGAAAATATCCGTCTTTGAAGATCGTAATGCGATCGATTATCTAGGTGCTTATGCGCCGAACACTGGAAAAAGGAAAAGAAAAGAAATAAAGAAAAGAGAGAGAGAGAGAGAAAGAGAGAGAGAGAGAGAGAGAGAGAGACAGAGAGAGAGAGAGAGAGAGAGAGCGATTTACCACAAGGAAGAACCAACCTTCCACACCAATCGTTCGTATCAAACTGGGTCAAGATGTTCACCGAGACGATTTTTTCTCCGTATTCAGGAATAAAGCGTGCCGAAACGTACAGTCAACGGATTATCCCTATCTCACCACGTTTACCTAACTCATGTCTTTCCTTACTCTAACCATCGAACTTGTTCGGTACAAAATATAATTATTTTTTCAGATTTATGTGAATCCTTGAAACGAAAGAAAAAAAAAAAAAAAAAAAAAAAAAAAGAGAGAAATAATAAAAGAAGAAAAATATTATACCAATATTATAATATTAAATCGAATAATACGAATATTATACTATCTCACATATTCATTCTTTATTTCCTCTATGAAATATATATATTCCAACGATGTTATGACAGTTTACTAGATAAGTAATAAGAACTAAGTTTTATCGAGTGGTCGATTCGTAGAAATGCTTTTACTACTTTCTAATAATAATCATTTATATTTCAACGATACCTTATGTATGAACGAAACGACGAAAATTTGGAATTGAAAAATTCAGCGAACCAAAGCGAATCCATTGGATTTCAGATTCCACAAAAGGGAAAAGAGAAGCATTAGAGACTATCTAGTAAAACGTGAAAGAGAGGCAAGAAGCATAAATTTAATTCTCGTTCGCTGAGCGAAAAGAGAAGAATAAAAGAAGATATAAAGGTAAGAGAAAACAAGAGATGGAAAGGAAAGACAGAAGGAAAATCGTCAGCGCGTTGTTTTAATGAAGTGTCGTCGGTATATGTTGGGGTTGAGTAACCGTGAGGGAGGGAGGGAGGAAGGGAGGGAGGGAGAGGAGTGATGGACGGACGTTCATTTCGCACGTACGTAGCTTTCGCTTCCTGTTGAAAATTACGCGAGATGCTCGGGCAACTCTCATCGTCGTCGTTGCCGTCGTAACCGTCGTCGTCATCGTCGTCGTCGTCGTCGTCGTCGCCAAAAGAGGAGCGACGATGCGACGATGAGAAGCCCGCCGACGTTGCTCTGTCCACGAATGAGAGGATTGGAACGAGAAAAAGAGGGCTTGGATCGTTTCACGAAAAGGCAGGGAAAGTGAGAAACACAGTGGAAACTCAAAAGGCAAAAAAAAATAACAAAAAGGATGAAAGAGACAGAGAGAGAGAGAGAGAAAGAGAGAGAGAGAGAGGGAGGAAGCAAGAAGGTGGCAAAAGTTACTCCGCTGGAAACGCAAGGGAGCTATCTCTTTTTTAGTAACCCTCCTCGACTCTTCTCTTCTCTGTATCCACATAGATGTTGACACTGATATTAATACCCGGCATGGGATGAAATATGCACGAAGACAAGTCGGCTAAATGATACGTCCTTCCTAATGTAAAAATAAAAAAGTTCCAAACAGTAAGGAACAGGTTACTACTAACGTGTAAGGGCGGATAATAAATTTTGTCTCTCGTGTTTTATAGTTCATCGCACAATTTTGCTTTTTTTCGTTCGCGAAGATATTGTCGAAGTAAGGATACTTCTTTTTTTTTCTTTTTTTATTTTTCTTTTTTTTTTCTTTCTTTCTTTCTTTCTTTCTTTTTTTTTTGTCTTCATCCTCTCAATAGAATATACTCCTTTATTTTTTACCTTGAGTAAATATACCACAGATGTCGTAGAACGAGGATAGATTCACGATAAGAAAACGTGGCGTCGAGAGAAAACTCGAAGATAAAAAGGTTTTCCTCGTCGATTTAGTCCTCGAGAAGGGTGGGCGTGGTTGGGACGGCCTGTAGAAAAGTGAAATCTCTCATACAGAAGCCAAGGTGAAAAATAAAAAGGGTATCGATGGGCAATGTAGTTTTACCCTCGTCAAAGTCATGGAAAAACTATAAGCAATGTAAAAAAAGAAAAAAGAAAAAAAAAAGACATGTTTTTCGATGTTCTTCATCAATGTTTTTTTGAAATCCCACGGTGGTAACATTCTCGAAAAAAGAATTCATGTAATTTCTTTCATCTTATTCAAATTGGCAGAAAATCACGTAACACGTTACAAACACGTTTAAAATTGTATTTCAGGTTCATCAACGTAGACGTTCTTTATTTCATCTCGTAGCAACATTTTCACTTCATTCTACGCTCGGTTGATAATCCCAGACTTAGAAAGCTCTAAGAACTTCCGATAAAATGACCTCCATAGAAATACAAACTAGTCAACGCGAAATCAACGACGAGTTGTGTGGCGGGCAGTTAAATCCGTCGACGACACGGTGCAAAGGACATACCGCGCCACGTACAGAAAGTCGTTTCAAGTAACTACTTCCTCTGGTAACGCCTGACGTTTCTTTCTCTGTCTATCTTTTTTTTTTTTCTCTATTCCAACGAAATCCTATACGAACGCAAATTAATTCTACTGTAACGAAAGTAGACGGTTTTCGAAATATTTTCTTTTCTTTTTCCGCTAGCCGTGCGTAAACTTTTTTAAAAACTCTTTAAACGAGCGAGCTTAATTTAACATAGAATATAAAATGAAATTTTGATAAATTAATTATGAGATTTCCTTAAGGAAAAAAAGAAACGAAAGATAATAAAAATGAAATAATTTCATAGTAAGAAAGTACTGTAACCTAAATTGAAAACGATGTTTTTTATCTTTTTCTTTTTTTCTTGTTTTTTTTTCTTTTTTTTTTTCTTTTTTTTCGAAAAATCACAATACAGTAAAAAGTTTCGTCGTATAGATTATTATGACATGAATATAGATGATTTGATTTGATAGCGTTAAAAAAGAATTGAGAAATTCGTATTACCGTGATCATTTTAATATCTTTTTAATCCGTTCGAACTAGTATTGTTCAAGAATCCGAAAAAAGCTATCAATTAAATTGAAATGTTTCTATTTACGTTCGTTCGTTCGTTCGTTCGTTAGTAATAAATATCATACTATATATATATATATATATATATATATATATATATATATATATAAATATAATACTATATATATATATATATATAGTATGATATTAATTTATAATTAAACTAAATATAGTTATGATATATATATATATATATTGAAAGAAATTATAAATAAATATCGATGAAAACAAGTGAAACGGGTAATTAACAATATCACGATGAATTAAAAACAATAAAAATATTATATTATCAAATAGAAAAGTTTTAATAATTTCAGTGAACGTCGATGTTTCTCCGAAAGCTCTCGCAAAATCATCGTAGACTAGCTAGTATATGCTTTGGAGTGCGATTCTCCGTCGCCCGACAATTGAGATGCGAACAAACATCAGCATAGAATAATATACACACACACGAGCGCGTAGCTTTCGCGACAGTGATACAACTGGATGCGTGAGACAACGTGTATATGGTAATTTACCGCAAGGTAGACTTCGAGCCGTTAACGATTCCGTGTCCTGTATTAATCTGAATTTCAAATTCTTGCTCCATGGTACCGCAGTGACTCAATGACTAAGAGAGAAAGATGTGGAAGGAGGAAGAGAGAGAAAGAGAAAGAGAGAAAGAGAGAGAGAGAGAGAGAGAGAGAGGAAAAGGGAAGTCTACCTCGAGGGAGTCCACGAAACGCAAAACAGATCGCCATTTCTAGGCTGGATCAAACTTTTCCTATTTTCAGCTAAACAGTTAGTTAAAACTGCATCGTACGAGCTATTCCAAAAATGAAGTTTATCTCATAAGCGTGTTACTATACAACGGTTCTTTCTATGCAAATACACAAAACTAAGAGAAACATTTTATTTATACTGACATGGAATTCCCACGAAACAAACTAACTCATACATACATTGTATGAGTTACGATATTTGTTTAATTAAAAAAGCTCGAATCGAATTCAGATTTTATTTCGACAAAAAAAAAGAAAAAAGAAAAAAAAAACAAAAGCAAAAACAAAATCTTTAAGTTAAAATACATTTGAAAACAACGAAATTTCGATTCGTAATTCTAGATATTAAAATTTTCACATTTCATCGAAATTTTATAGGGAATATTTTTAAAGTTTACAAATAAATAGTCATTTATTTTTAATAGATTAATCTGCATCTCTTATAAAAAAAAAAAAAAGATGAAGTTAGAATTAAATTATTTAACTATGGCTCTTCGATCTAACAAAAAAATATAAGATATACGTATTAACATGAAAGGATAACGAGATAAAAATGTTCATTTTTTAAAGCGACCGATTTTGATCCTTGAGAGCGACCGATATCGTACTGAGAAAAATGCTGTACCGAGAAATCCCCTTTCTTATTATAGAAAATATTGTGTCGATTCTATTTCACGTGTGACGATGAATTTGCCGTCAGACAGGAAGAATGAGGAACGAACCGATTTTTTAACGAATACGCGTCATTTACGGGAAACGATCGAAGAGAAAGGTAAAGAGAAAGAAAGAAAAAAAGAGAGAGGAGAGAGAGAGAGAGAGAGAGAATTTTCTCCGAGCCATTTCGAAGGAATTTATATTTATCGCTTCGTATGTTACGTCGACGAGCCATATCTCGTCTTCTGTTTTCTGGAGCGTTCGTTTTAAATCATTTCGTGATACCTATACCGATTAAATCAATGCTTTTCCCTTCGTAATGGAACGAAACGAAAGAAAAGAATAAAAAAAAAAGAAAATAAAAAAATAAATAAAAAAAATAAAAAAAAAAGAAGAAAGGACAACCGAGAATTGATGTCACTAACAAGAATACCAATCGTATTTTCACACGGTGGATTCATAAAAAATATGATCATTGTTTAAATAATAATGAACAAGGAAAAAAGGAAAAAAAAAAAAATGAAAAAGAAAAGAAGGACAAAAAAAGTGAGTCAAAACGAGAAGTATCGAACAATTCTTTTTATCATATTATTACATAATATTGGGGAAAAAAAAATTCTACCATTATTTTGCCTATGAGATAAAACGTAGTAAAAGGTAAAGATAATTTTCTATACCTTGGTCAATTACACGATCACAAATAGCAAGGAAAGCGTATGTAAATGGAAAGATAGGATAGCGAATAACGTAAGATATAAGAATTCATTTTCTTCGCTTTAATAAACGCGTTACAAAGAAGTGAAAGAGGAAGAAGTAAAAGAGAGAGAAAAAAAAAAGAGAATGAGAAAGGAAAAGAGAGAATGAGAAAGGAAAAGAGAGAAAGAGGGCACGTGTTGGTCTTGCCATAAAGTTTC